AAACATTGTATCGAGTATATTTGAAGAAGAAAAATTGTTTTCTTATTATTACAATGTTTTTTTGCAAACATCTGTAATGTACTGCAACGTTTCAAAATTAATAACGAATAAAACAATTTCTTATTAGATGAGATATTTTATTTGATGAAATAATACTTGACGTAAGAAAATATAATATTGATTTAAAATTAGGACATATTCCTTGGCGAAGTATAAAAGCATTTCATATATGTAAATATATATATAAACAAAGATATAATAACTTTTTCAAAAATAACAAATAAGGAACATTATTTACCATAATATATTACGTGTAAAACAGTTGTACTATTGTTGTCATATAATGATTCCTCCGTGGTAAATAACATTTTGTCCCCGTTATTTTCATACATTATTTACATTACATGGAATGCTAATTGTTATAATTGGTCGTAGCGATCGTAGTACTTTATCCTTAATATTGCAAATACTTGTATTATATAAATATATTTTAATTTTCCGGCGGGCGCACCTTTTTTAGTTATAAAAAGGGCATCATGTCAGAGAATTATTTTAAATAACAAAATAAACATTGTATAATACATTTGTATTATATATAAAAGTTTATTTATGCCTTTTATTTTCATAAAACCGATGCGCATGTACTTTGTTCATGTACGCACTCACCGGAAGGTTAAATATTATATTAGATAAAAAGCATACGCGCTTTTTTCTTTTTGATACTAGAAACACTAAATTATTTTTGATCGTTCTTATTTTTTTAACTATTTTATCCGTATTGACAGTACAATTGTGGAAATTTTTTTTACCTTTCATTAATTATTGTCTTCAGTGTAATGAAAAATCCATAACAAAACTGTCTTCAATTCAGATGATACAATGTTTGTAATTGTACTGGTGAGATTCTATGAAAGCAAACAGCGAAATTGAAGCGTAAAGGGAACAAAGTGATTCCTTCATATGTGAATAAGATATGAACATATTTTGTTTATGCAAGTGTGACAACAAATGTACAGCAAATAAACTGCAAGTAATTATGCAATTACTAGATTTGAGGCTTTCACATTCCGGAAGCTATACCTAGAAATTATGCAATTACTTATCTTTTATTATTTTAAGAATATTTATTTGCTTATTGTCGGATTTCAGCTGTATATACACACACACACGTGTATGTGTATGTATATATATATAT